CACGCACACTGTCACCCTCACACACTCACTGTCACAGTATCACACACACTGTCACACATTGTCACACACTCACTGTCTCACACACACACTGTCACCCTCACACACTCACTGTCACACTCACAGTCACACACACACTGTCAGATGCTCAGTCACACACTCACTGTCACACTCACACACTCATTGTCACACACACACTGTCACCCTCACACACTCACTGTCACACACACAGTCACACTCACTGTCACACTCACACTCACTGTCACACTCACACACTCACTGTCACACATACACTCACTGTCACACACAGTCACACACACTGTCACCCTCACACACTCATTGTCACACACTTAGTCACACAATCACAGTCACACACACTCACTGTGACATACTCACATTCACACACCGCTTAGTCACTCTCCGCTCGACTGTTTGTTGGACGCTGCTTGCGCAATTGGCTGCTGCGTTTCGCCCATAAAATATACAGTCAATTCACTTTACAGTGTATCCCGTGAAGCGCTTTGAGACGCGATAAGGCACTGTATTAAGTGCCAGGATTATTATTATTATTATCAGTTCCCCGGTCAGTCTCTGTGTCCCCCGTTCACTCTGTGTCAGTGGCCACTGGTTGAACGTTTAATGTGTTCTATGTTGTATGTTACAGGACACGCCTGTTCACACGGAGCCGGTGTCTGAACACCAGCAATAGACGTCTGTCTGTCTGTCTGTGCCCAGACGCCCAGTGCGCAGATTACACCCCACCCGAGTGTGTCAGCCCTTCCGAGCAACAAAGCAGAGACCCCGAGATGGAGTGACTGACTGACTGTGAGACAACAAACTGGTGGGCTCTCCCCTCCCCCCCCCCCCCCTCTCGCTCGCGCTCTCCACCCACTCAAGGAATGGCTCCGGGACACTATCCTGCGTGAACGGCGCTATATAAATGCAAGTTGTTGTTGTTGTCACTCGCTCGCTCCACTCTGCTGTTCCTCATTTATACATGTATGTTCTTCAGCTGCAAAGGACATTCAGTCTGGAAAGGGCTAAGTCCGTCCGGCAGGAGTGTGAGACAATCCCAGTCACTCTCTCCCCCACAACTCAGCCTCCCCGTCTCTCTCTCTCTCCGCTCTGGTCAGGCAACAGAGAGAGAGAGAGGGGGGACAGAGAGAGAGAGACACAGAGAGTGACGGAGAGAGACACTGACAGAGATAGAGACAGACTGACAGAGAGAGAGACACACACACAGAGAGAGGCAGAGAGAGGGACAGAAAGAGAGAGAGGGTCACCGAGAGATGCAGATTGAGAGAGACAGACTGAGAGAGAGAGAGAGAGACACACAGACGCAGAGAGACAGACAGACAGAGAGAAAGTAGTGAGTGAGGGACTCGTTAGAAAAAAAATTCACTTTAACGACATTTTCCCGATGAGCCGGAGATTTGGGAGAGAGAGAAAGAGACACAGAGAGAGAAGACAGAGAGAGAAAACAGAGAGCGAGAAAGACAGACAGAGAGAGAAAGACAGACAGAGAGAGACACACAGAAAGAGAGACAGATAGAGAAAGAGACAGATAGAGAGAGAGAGAGAGAGAGATACACCTACAGAGAGAGGCAGATGGACAAGGAAAGAGAGACAGATAGAGAGAGAGAGAGACGGACAGAGAGAGAGAGAGAGAGAGACACAGAGAGAGAGAGAGAGAGAGAGAGACACAGAGAGAGAGACGTGGATAGAGACAGAGAGAGAAGCTGTGGTTAAATATTAATCCTGTGGAGCTCACCGACCTGTCACCGAGGGTCTGATCCTGTGTGAGGTTAATATGCACATATTCCCCGCGGTCTCCGCTTGCACTATATCACTGACCGACTGTATCTTGTTACTGTATACCTTAAGCCGTGTAACCGCGTCCGGTCCTGTTCCGACCTTTGAAGGAAAATATATCCTCTAATGATTTTGTATCCCAACATATTGCAATACACGTAAAAGGGAATCGTCAGGGTCTGTGCTTTGTGTGAGGAATCCCCTCTCTCTGCCCCTCTTTCCCCTCCGCACCCCCCCCCCTCCCTCCCACCACCAACCTTATCTCCTCTCTCCCCCTCCGTGCCTTCTCTCTCTCTCTCTTCCTCTCTCCCTTTTCCCCCTTCTCTGCCCTCTCTGCCACTCTGTTCACCTTTCCCCTCTCCCCCTTACCCCTCCCCCCTTCTCTCTAACCCTGCACCCCCTCCCCCTTTCGTCCCCCTCCGACCCCCATCTCTCCCCCTTCCCCCCCTCCCCCCACCACAATAAACCAGAGTGTGTATTACACGAACGTACACACTTACGTGCCTGGACATCACAGAAACATGCAAACAGAGACACGTGTGTGTGTTGTTGTATGTTGTATGTTGTGTGAGCGGGCAGTGGTGTGGAAGCTGTAATTGAGGTGTTGGAGCAGTAGAGGGCGACACTGAGCCACATTATCACTCGTGTCTCCACACCATCACACAGTATCTCCCTGATTAGTGCGACATGTTTGAGGCATGTTCCTGGTGCCGCGTGTGGCATGTTTGAGGTGCGTTCCCGGTGACGCGTGAGCCGTGTTTCAGGCGTGTTCCTGGTGCCGGGTGTGGCATGCTTAAGGCGTGTTCCTGGTGACGTGTGTGGCATGTTTGAGGCACGTTCCTGGTGCCGCGTGAGCCGTGTTTCAGGTGGGTTCCCGTTGACATGCCAG